GGAGAGGTAACATTTTAAGGAGAGTTGGGGAGCTTGGCAACGAAGCATGAAGGACTGTGATCCTTTGCAGCCGATCACTGCCCAGACTAATTTTCCTCGCTCTGTCCCAAAGCTCAGGAATTCGGTTTTTCCCACTCTTTAGCTCCAGACAAACCACTAGCTCCAGCTAGAGGAGGTCTCTTTCCACCCTTCGCTGGGTGAGGTCACCCTGGATCTATATCGAAGAGTAGTCTCTGGAAGACAAGGAAAGTACTACTGCCTTAACTTTCAACTCAAATCTCCAGGCAACTGGAGGCTGGGAGGGCCGAGGAGGCTAAGGGTAAGGCTAGTGTTAGCCTAGCACTACTACCTCCACCTCCTGGGAACTCCATCTTCCAGGAGGCTATGCGATTAGCCCCTAGAAGCCTGACAGGGAGTGAAGAGAGAAGAAACAGAAGAAGATGGGAGGAGATAGTAGTGAGGAGAGGTCAGTGGAGGAGGAGAGGGGACAAGGGAGGAGGAGAGAATGGAAGAAGGGAAAAGAAGTGGGAAAAGGAGGAGGAGAGAGATTAGCACGAAAGGGAACTGGGGAGAAGAAAAGGGAGTGGAAGAAAAAAGGGGAGAGGAGGGGATGAGAGGGGAGGTTAATGAATAAAGAAAGGAGGAGGTAGAGTAGAGTGGGAGCAGAGGAGAAGGGAACAGAAGAAAAAGAGAGGAGATAGGACATTATGGGAGAGGTGAAAGGAAAAGGGAAAGAAGAGGAGGAGAGGGGAGAAAGACTGAGAGGAAGGTAAAAGAGAATAGTAAAGTAGGAAGGAGAGAAGGAGCAGGGAAGAGTGGGAAATGGAGATGGGAGGGTAACAGAAGAAAAAGAGAAGGGAGAAGATATTGTGGGAGAGAGGAAAGTAAAGGAATTGGGAAAGAAGAGAAGAAGGGAGGAGAGAATAACTGAGACCAGAGAAGGGAGGAGAAGGAAGGGGAAGGCAAAAAGAAAAGGATATCATCATGGGAGCAGAAGAGAAAAGGGTGGACAGAGCAGGAGGGAAAGAGGAATTGTATAGCAAGACAGAAGAGGGAAGCTGAAGAAAAAGGAGGGGGGAATCATAAGGATCACTCCTGCGCTATAATGTCTCTATTAATGTCAGAACTACCAGAAACAGCTCACCAGAAGGGCTCTAAAATAAGGCACATTGTGGTACCATACACAAACACATTTGTATCTAAAACTTGGCCCTTGGCCCTTACTAGATGAAATCAGAGCTTGACCTCAGGTGCAGTCATTCGTTTGAGACCAGTACTCCATCCCCTACCTGATCTTCTGGGGCTATACTCCAGCCCCCAGGCTCTTGCAAGAAAAGAAAGAGGCAGAAAAGGCTACTTTGAATGTTCTGGCACATCTCTTCTGCTACCCAGAAAATAAATCTTCTTTCTAAATTATTCCACATGGATTCTCACTCCTCCTCCCCCTCTCTCATTGAAAAACCAAACCAAACTGCAGCTGTACTTAAGGCATCTCCTTAGAGCAAGCTGAAACTAGAGAAAATCTAATGTGTTAGTAATTTATTATGATTCCTGCAATTCACAGTCTACTCCCTTTGTATATCTCATAGTAAAGGGCAGCTAACATTTATTCAGTACCTTATAGGAGCCCAGGGGAAGTCATGTCTATAGTCCCATATATATCCTCCTTTTAGATCATCCAGATCATTAAGAGAGATCCTCCCTTTCCTCTCCTCTACCCCCTGTCCCACCCTTGCCTCAGTGCTGCTTCCAACCTGGATCTCATATCTATCAGCCAGGAAAGTAATTTTTGTTGCCTGTCTCAGAGGTGCTGCAGCGCTGCAGCTTCTGCCTCCTCACCTGTCACAGCTACTGAAGATTCAGAAAGTCATGTTCTTGCCACCAAAGTCCTTGGCATCACTGAATGAATGGTCCACCATCAGAAACATGGTTTTGTCTGTGGATGTGACATTGAAGAGGAATTACCAACTGCCTAGCCACTACACTCCAAAGTCTACAAGACCTTTCCATCTTATTTGCAGCTGAAACCGCTAATGTATGTTGCCTCCCCCATTAGGATGGGAACTCCTGCGAAGCAGGAACTGATGGCTTTTCTATTTGTATCTCTAGCACTTTGCATATAGTAAGCTATTGATGAGGATTTTTTTTTCATTCATGCACTTATATTGATGGTATGTGCTCAGAGGGGTGGAGGCATCTCTAGGAAATACAACCTCTGTTCCTTCCATTCTGGAAGAGTTCTAAGCAATAGATTCCTTTCTATTAGGTAATACACAGAAGCCATTGCACAACTGCATAGATTGGTACTGAGGAGTTTCCTTGACAATAATAATAGCTAACACTTATGTAACATTTTTTTAAGTTTGCAGAGTACTTAACAAATATTTGATCTTCACAACCACTCTGGAAGGTAGGTGCTATTATTATTCCCATTTTATAGAAGAGGAAGTTGAATCAGCCAGAGGTTAAATGACTTACTCATCGTAATACAGTTAGTAAATGGCAGATGATGGATTTGAACCCAGATCTCCCTGACTCTTACTGCTTTGCCCCCTAGATGCCTCTGAGAGGAGAATTATTTGGTCAAATCATTGGGCCCAAGGTCACTCAAATGAAATCCAGGTTCATAGGTGCTTGCAAAAAAATGACTGTCTCTCAATGCAAGAACCACATTAGGTATAACTTTAGCTGTGTGCTTAATGACTTTCTACATTAAGGGCCCTAGTACTGTGTAATAGATTTGAGCCTGAGAAAAGTGGAAGGAGGAGGAAGGAGGGAGTTCACATAATAAAGACATCTGTCTAAAAATAGAAACAACTTACAAGTCAAAGAAAAGAAAAACTATGTCCATGTGGCAGTGGTCATAATTAGTAGTAGCAAAAGGAGGATGAGGACAAAAAGGAAGTGAAGGATATGATGTTGATAATGAAGCTGAAAAATCTAAAGTTTAGAGGTCATGTAGTTGACCCTCCTCACTTAACAAAAAGGTAAACCAAGGCCAGGAGAAGTTAATTGATTTGCCCAGGGTCACTGAGGAATCTAAATCAGGCTCAAGGTCCTGAGACTCCCAGGCCAGTCCTCTTTCTACTACCTGAAGCTAATTTCCAGTGTCAGATTCCTTACATGTCTAGAGAGATTGGTGACCTCTGTGCCTTAATCTCTCTCTCTCTCTCTCTCTCTCTCTCTCTCTCTCTCTCTCTCTCTAGTATCCTGTAATATACTCAATGATTCCATTCCATGCACAAACAGCACCATACTCATCTGGCCCTCACTAAGCATTAGCTGCTGTTGCTGCTGTTGTGAATCATGATTGGGATCATGGGACAAAGTTTGTTTTGTTTTGTTATGCTTATGAATGGTTTCCATACTTAGACAAATGTTGGTATCTGTTTATTAAAAGGAATTCTCTTTCTCATCTTCCTCCTCCTGCGGCAGGAATCTATACAAAGCCCAAGTGTGGAAATTCGTGAACCTGCCCATCAAGGGGATGCCAGGGAGAGTAGGAAGCAATAATTTGGCTGTTATACTATTAATTTATCTTCCAGAATATCACTTCCAGGATAACATTGATCTAGGAAATGTGTGGTTGTATTGGTGAGCAGTTTACACACACACACACACACACACACACACACACACACACACACATACACGATCATTTCTCTGCCCTTCTACCCTACCCTCCAAATTATACATTATAATTCTTTTCTTCATAATTATTGAACCACAGGGTTCAGAGCTGGAAGGAACCGTAAAGATGACTTAATCCAAGCAATCATTTTACAAATGAGGAAATTGATGCTTAAAAGAGGGAAGTGACTTGCGCAAGGTCACATAGGAAGCAAATGGCAACAGGCAGAGCTGAGATTGGAATCCAGGTGCTCAGACTCCAAATCCAGGGCTCTTTGTATCACCATCACCTCCATCATTATCATCATCATCCAGTCATTACGGGTCTTTACAAACCAAGTGTCAGATCTGACATGGAGTGCACACACACTAGGCAGGCATTAGCTGTGCAGCAGGCTTGGGGAAATGCACAGAGGCAGTCAGAGAGCTGGTGATCCTCAGAGGCTTCTCCGAGACTAGCGAGAAGAGCTCTTGGAAAGTCGGGGCTCTACACCCAAACTCCCTTTGGTTTCTGCAGGCTTTGAGCCTCACTGGCCTGCAGAAACAGACTCGTGCACAACTATTGTTTCTTTTATTACTTCGAAATAAACAGAATGAACAGACAAGGCGGAAAATATAGTACGAAGGAGGTTGGGAAACTCATTTGGCCAGCAGATGCTGTCCTGGCAGGCGATTTCATGGAGCCCAACGATACACAAACCTCCCACCCGCCCCCTCCACCAAGTACACAGAGGAGGTCAATGTTTTGCAAAGGCGCAGTCAGCGAGAACTTTGCCTGGCCTCCAAGCGAGCCCTGTTTAATTTTCAAACTTTCCCTTCAGTTCATACAGCATCTCTCAGACTATCTCCACTGTGGAGACCCGGAGGGCAGACTGGCATTAGTCTGGAAGTTGGGGGGCGCTCGGCTTGCGGTGATCACAGCTCTCCCCGAGTTTCCTGAGCCCCTTGTTCTCCTCCCGGAACAGGAAAAGCGGAGCTCCGGATCCCCCCTCTTCGGAGCCATCCATACCCCCGCGCATTGAACGGGAGGGAGGAGGAAGCCAGCCGGGGCTGGGCTCCTATCACCAAAGCCAGCCTCCTCTGGAGAGGCAGAGATGGAGGAGGGGAGGAGGATATGGGAGGGGGTAAGGGGGTGAGGGCGGGTTGAGGTGAAGCCGCCAAAGTCGCACATCCCCGCAGCAGCTCAGAGGAAAGCCTAGGCACCGCAACAGCGTGGACTGGCTCCGCGCTGGCAACCGAGACTTTCCTGAAGGATCATCTCAACTTTGTTTCTGCTCGCGGTCTGTCTGCCGGAGCCAAGCGCCAGCCTACCTCCACAAAGTTACTGGAAGGGGGCGGGCGGGGGGTTGGGGTGGGGGGGGAGGAGGAAAGGCAAAGAAAATGGCGAGTTGTGGGGCTAAAGTGCCGGGCTCAGCTCTCTTCTTCTTACTACTGCTGCTCGTCACTTGGAGTTGTGGCTGCGCCCAAGCCGAGGAGGAGAAAGAGGGACAGCGCTCCTGCCACGGCGCCTTCGATCTCTATTTCATCTTGGACAAGTAAGTGGCAGTCCCAGTTCCCGGCTCGGCTCGCGGCTGGACTTTCACAGGGGAAAGGCAGGGCTGCTGCTTAGTGTAGCGCCTGGGGCTGATCGCCAGGGTAGTCCCCCCCGGCCCAGAGCTCCCCGTAGACACAAAGAGCCCTGTGAAAGGTAAAGAATAAGCCAGGCATGCATTCCTTTGGAGGGAAATCACGCCAGATCCTGTACAGCCCCCACCACGGAGCAAGGAAGGTAGCCTGACCACCCACCCCCATGCACTCAGACGCCTAGGCTGAAGGACGGACACACTCACGCAAATGAAGACGCGGGTGCACTCACACACACACACACACACACACACACACACACACGCCTGCAGGCATGGACACAAACTCACTGACACCCAAACGCATGGGGGTCAGGAAAAGCAGAGTTAGTTTGGGTGTCTCTGATGTGACCTGACGGGACCACTAAGTTCTTTCAAAGACTAACTAGGGCCTTAAAGGCCAGCCAGGTCTAAGGCTCCGGGAGGGGAGACACAGTGTTAAATTGGAAAGCAGACACCATTGGAATTGAGGCCCAGCGTTTCCCAAGTGCCAGAGATGGGAGGCGCTTCTCCGTGGGAGCAAGGCCCCTAATAATCTTCCATGCGCACCTAACTTTTGTCTGTGCAGGGTGTTTGTCAGTCAGAGCCGCACATACCCGGAGCAGGGCTTGTCCCACATCTTTGGCCCTCAGCAGCTACTTTGAGCTGTTCTGCTGAGGGGTGGATGGGGTGAAAGGCTGCCTACAGGGGGTGGGGCTAGACCAGATGCTGGGCCAAAAAAAGGCCAGTAGTTACAAAGGCTTCCAGAGGAAAAACTGGTACCATTAATCCAAACAGGCCCTAAGAGATTCAGCTACTGAAACTTCTTTGTCTGCAGAAGGCAGAAAGAACCCTTAAGGCATCTTAAGCTCGTCCCTTCCAGCTTCAAACCCTGTGATCCCGATAACTCATTTTTTTTTAATTTTCAGAAAAAAGAAAAACAGTACAGTGAAGCTCTCTTTATGCCTTTTACCAGAGCTGCGACTAAGGGTAGGCAAGGTGGGCTACTGCCCAGGGCACAGTTATACAGAGGGTAGAATGACCCACAGGACCTTTAAAATATTCATTCCTTTTTTAAAATGCAGATATTTGCAAAATAAAAATGCAAAGAGTATACTCTGTATGATATATAAGGTAAAAAAAAATCAACTTTTATGTGTTATAGTGCAGATTTCGATTCTCCAGTATCTCCTAACCTAGGTTCCCCTCCTCCTAGCTCCCTAAAATTTTCAGAATACTGGGGACACGCTTTTTAAATCTTGCCTAGGGCTCACAAATTGTTTTACTCCTTTCTACCAACTTAGTACTACCACATCCATACCTTGTATTACCTCATAAAAAGAATTTATACATGTTAGGTCCTTGGAACTTGTCTTACTATCTCTCCATAAGCTGTTGAACTTTTACTTTGTGCTTGTGTGTGTGTGTGTGTGTGTGTGTGTGTGCTGAAATTTACATGACTTAAAAAAAAAAAAACCATTCCCAGATTTTCTTGTAGGCATTTCAATCCTGTTTATTACAATAACAATAACTAGTATTATTATCATTATCACTATTTTGTCCAGACCTGTAATTTCATCTGTGTAGGGAATTCCTGCCACAGATAAAGATCAGCAACTTTTCTGTGGCATATAGTTCTACAGTACAGACTCAGGGCACAGGGAAATTGAGTGATTTGCTCGTGGTCACACAGCCTTTATGTGTCAGAGAGAAAATCTGAACCCAAGCCTTCCTGCCTCCAAGATGAGTCTTCTGCTCACTATACTCTGCTGTTGTAAGTACTCTGAAAAAAAATAGTGGCTTGAGATATTTCTTTTAATCCCTAAGGTCATATTTCATTTTTTGATGTGCTTTGCAAAAATTATTTAGGTCATAGAGATACAGATATAGGAAAACATGAATTGTGTAAAGTGCACTCTAGTTATTTTTAAGGTTAGTCATTGAAAACCTCTTCATTAGACTGTCTTCAGTTAGGCAATCAGCAAACATTTATTAAATATTTCATTTGTGCCAGGCACTGGACCAAGTACTCAGGAATGCAAAGAAAGGCTCTTGTAGAAAATGAGATTTGAATGGAGTCTTGAAGGAAGCCGGAAGACAGCCTTCTAGGCATGTGATAGTCAGTGAAAAGGCAAAATGAAGTGCTGTCTGTGAAGAGCCATAAGTAGGTCTACCAGTAGGCCAGTGGAATTGGATCGTAGTTTGTGGAGGGGTGGAAAGTGTAAGAAAATTGGAAAAGTAGGAAGGGGAGAACTCGTGAAGATCTCAGATTCTAAACAAAGGATTTCCCATTTTTTCCTGCAGACAATAGGGAGGCGCCAGAGTTTATTGAGGTGGAGAGAAGGGGTTAATGTGGTCAGACCTGAGCTTTAAGAAGATCACTTTGGCTGCTGGGTTGAATTGGATTGGAGCTGGAAAAGACTGGATTCAGGGAGACTTGATAGAAGGTATCAGGTGATGGAGGTCTGCACTGGGTGGCAGCTGTATGAGTGAGTGGGGAGAAGGAGATGGGTACAGGAGGTGTCCTGAAGACAGACATGACAAGAATTGGTAACAGATTGGATAGGTGGAGTGAGTGCCAGTGGGGATCCAAGGATGATGCTAAGGTTGTGAGCCTACCTGGGAGGATAGTAGTGCCCTCAGCTGTAATAGGAAAAGTTAGGAATATGTTTGGGTTTGATAGAGGAAGATAATTAGTCAATTACTTCAGTGAAGTATGAGGCAAGGTTTTCAGCTGAGAGGATTAGAGAAGGGGTACCATAGGAAGCTCAAAGAGCAATGGGAGCAAGGCACTGACCTCATTGAGGAAAGGAAAATTCCCTGGGGATTGCTAGATGATGGTCAGGACTATATTGGATGATAAATTCGAATATTTAGAACCATAAAGCAGAAGAGGTTGCTGATTGATGGTGGTAGAAAGATTGTCTAGACGTGGTAGTAGAGAGCAAAGAGTATTCTAACTTCATCCTAAGCAAGGAGTCAGGCAGGGATGGGGAAGGTGTGAAAGTTTTGCCTGTACTATAAAGGGTGGTCAGGGATGCTGGGTCATCAGGAGGGAAATCTCTGAAGACCTCATCATTAGACTGTCTTTTCTTTCTTAGAGAAAGCCAGAAGATAGGAATAAGAAAGGAGAAAGGTTTCAGATCAAATTAGATTTGTTAATTATGGAGCAGGAACTCCAGAGAGCACAATGTAAGAAGAAAGTATATCTGGAGTGGAAGAATAAAGCTTCCCTATTCTGATGCTGAAGAGTAAAGGAAAAACATTCTCTTCCATGATTCAACAGAATGGTAGCCTAGCTACCATATGTTCTCCATGAGGTTGGGAAAACGTCTCTGATGACTATTATTAATGATTAATTACTATTAATTTCATCATAACAATATCTATAATACTTTACATTTGTCTAATTCTTTATAATTTTGAGATTACTTTCATATACATCATCTCATTTCAATGAATCCATCAAATTTATTAAGCATATACTATGTGCCAGGCACTGTGCTAAGCACTAGACCCTCACCCTGTGTGGTGGGCAGGGTAGACATTATTATTCCCACTTTGCAGATGAGTAAACAGAAGTTTAAAGTTACAATGACTTGTCTGAGGTCAGACAGCTGTAAGGGCTAGAACTCTGTCCTTCAACACCTAGTTTGATGGTTTTTTTTTAACTGGATGATATTATATCACAGAATCATAGAATGTGGGAGCAGGAAGGACCTCAGTGGCTAGGAAGGCTAACATATTCTCTGAAGGAACCCCCACCAACATGTCCAGCAGGTGGTCCTTCAAAGAAGAGGAACCTGCCACCTCTTGAGGAAGCTCGTGCTTAAAGAGAAATGACCTTTGGGGTTACATTAATTAACCTAATTAATAATTAATTATCCTGCTGCCAAGCCTAAATTTGCCTCTTGGCAACTTCCACTTAAGGCTCCTAGTTCTGCTTTCTGGGCTAAAACAGAACAAGTCCAATCTCTCCTTCATATGGTAGCCCTTCAAATGCTGGGGGACAGTTGCCATGTCCTCTTGAGTCTTCCATTGTCCAGGCTACATTTTCAGTTCCTCCAACAGATCCTCCCATGATATGGACATTGAGGCCCTTTGCAATCTTTGTGACCCTCTCCTAGACACTCAGTCCCTTTGCCTTATCCTTATTATTGGTGGGGAAACTGTCACCAAAGTGATTTGCTCAATAACACACCAATGGCAATGCAGTAGCTTGGAGCCCTGAGATTTTCAGTCTACCCAGCTGTAGTAGATGAGACAATCATTTTCAGAATATACTGCACATCTTTCTTGGGGTGCTTAGCATCATTTACAGTTGTTGCTCCATTCATCTCCAAACCACCTCTGTTGAGGAATGGAGAACCTCAAGTCATAACACTAAAGATAGAAAAGGAGATGGGTCTTAATGAAGGCCAAGAAACCTGGGTGCCACTGTGGGTAGAGTGCCAGGCTTGGAGTCAGAAAGATGGAAGACTCAATCTTCCTGAGTTCAAATCTGGCTTCAGATACTTGGTAGCTGTGTGACCCTGGGCATGTCACTTAACTCTGCTTGCCTCAATTTCCTCATATGTAAAATAAGCTGGAGAAAGAAATGGCAAACCACTCTAGTATCTTTGCCAAGAAAACTCCAGATGGGGTCATAGAGAGTCAGACACAACTGAACAACAACAACAAAAGAAATCTCTCGTGTCTTTTGCTTCAGGGAAGATTTCTGTGCCAGAAGGATTCTGGCAACATATTTCTTTGCCCCAATGCCATATGACTTCATTCTGTTTCCATTTGTCAAGAAAGTTCCAAGTCCAATATCGTTCTTGTTCATACCCACACTCTCCATCCCATGTAATTCTCATGACTTCTTCAAAGAAGGGAGAGTGGTTTTATGTAAATGGCTGCTCATTTAACAAGTTTGGGTTTATGTAGGAAGGGAG